GCCAAGAAACAAATGAGTCCCCACCAATGGCCGTTCTACCGGTAGCATATGCTTGATCCCTAATTACATCGATACGACCTACAGATGTCGCAATCTGTTAGTGTCAAATCAAAGGGCCGAGCGCACCCTTACAGATCATTCAGAAGTCCTAGTACCAACATGCTACATAATCCGCCAACAATACACAAACAACTTGGTGCCACTGAGTCCCAAAAGGTTGGCTGTCTACATTGTTGAACAGGTGAAGTATACACCAATTTGGATCAATTCGCCCCTGAACGATGTACGAACATCCACAATATTGTAACAAGTGCATCTTTCCATCTAATAGCCGTACCATATGGCACACATATCTTCCGAAGTTAGGTATTGCACTGCGCAGTCGAGAACAAACAGATGCTACGATATTCGTTCTGATGCATAAAGAATTACATGGTGGCAATAGATATGCATGCTAAGGGTAAACTGGTATAGTCGCTGGTTTGTGTGCTGAGCTAGAGAATTTGACCGCGAACGTTTCACCACCAAAAGAGGTGAGATCATCAGGGAGCGGACTGAGGCTTTGCGTTGAGTAGCACGGCCCCTGCTGCCAACTGGGGTTGACTATTGCTTACGAATTGGCCAGTAAGGCAACTTCCGAAGCCCGTGATTATGAAGGACAAAAGGAACGCTGTGAGACGGTCGCCCACAGAGCCCGTAGAAACTTCACCTATGGCCAGTTGCGTGTTGATCTGTAGGTCATCCGCAGAACTTTCATAGGTGCTTATGCGGAGCAGTTCTCACAGAAGCATTTGAGCCGACATTCAGTAGTGAAATGAGCTCAACCGTTCCGAAAAAATAAAACATTCATCTGTCCTCAAAAGTGACCGGCTTAGGAAAGGCGACCCACTGACTGACTGAGTGACTGCCTAATGCAAACATTCAGTGCGTCACAGCTGAAGATATGATTCAGCGGTAGCGGGCAGATCGATCCAAATTTCAAGAATAAGGTTCCAAGCAACGACCCCCGCGTAGTTCGATTTAACTGTAAACTATGTGACAAATTACCAAGGGTACATTTGTTCCAGATGTCAAAGTTTCAGTCACAAAAAATGAGACAGCCCGGGAGATCTAATCAAGTACTGGAAGCTACAGTATAATCAACTAGTTCGTATTGAATCAACCTAGTTATTTGAAGGCAAGGGAGACTGGATAGCAACATTTTGAAAGATTGATGAGGAAGCGCAACTGGTTGTGGTTGGACCGAATCTTACGGTGATGAATTTGAAGATGAATTTAATCCCCGGATGCCCATCCAGGGACGGTAGTTATCAACCTAAGTTTACTGGTTAGTGCTTTCATACCTCGTTGCCAGATCATGGATTGTTCACCTCTTGGTCGCTTCCACTGAGCACAGCACTGGGCAGAAAGAGTTCTGCTAGGCAGACGGCTCCCTGGGATGTGAAACAAATGTCCTAACCTGAGCAACCTATCAAGATTGAGTACCTAATCCATGGTGAGTTGTTTTTCCCTAGAATCATCTCGATTACCTCCGGATTTCTAAACCAATCTTCTCACAAGACCCATTCAGTGGTTCAGAGACACTGGAACCTATACGACTATCCACATAATACTTATTCCGTGATTCTAGGCTGAATGGCGCTATATCCTATCTAAATTCGAGTTAATCACACCGCTGATCAGCCACTGTTGGCCGAATAGTTAAGTGTTCAAACTATTCGCTTTGAGATCTCAAACTCAAAAAATCCTGTAGTTTCATGAGATGCACACCGTTTGTGGTTCTCAGTGAAGATGGAATAGCTATACAGTGCTTCTCGGCTCCTCAGTAATTGATTTCAGTTACGGAACGAAACCTCAAATGAAAATTTATATAACTGCTCAGCTAAACCATTTGATCTACCACATCTATTGGCTGGTCTGTCACAGTGAGGCTTGGGTTTGATCACACTGTCTTCCAGCGTCATTTTACGCTCTGCAGGTGTGAATAGGAGTAGAATTATTCAGGTTATTCAGAATTACTTGAGCCTCTGAATCAGATGAACCAAGGAGACCAATATCATCCGCACACTCAATGTCAATCAGCGAACACTCCGGGAGCATTTCGAAACCCGAGATTCCAGAAATAGATAGACAATTTTCAGGCGGCACATCAATAAAAAGAGGAATGAAGATAGAGTGCAGCCTTGACTTAAACCACTGAATGTAGTGAATTCATACGAAAACCGTACGCACCCATATTAGTGATAAATTTTACAAACGCCCTTGATCATAAAAACATCTCCAAAGTTCCTGACCATCGACAGCGTCAAAACCAGCTTTCAGATCAAGAAAAACAACCAAAGTTTGAAAGTGGCGCTGTTCAAGAACTTGTCTCAAGGTAAATATATGGTCCATGTATCCTCGGCCAGGGCATAACCTAGCTCGAATCTCACGAGTGTCTCTTTCAATAATCGATCAACTTGCACAAACTAACGTCACAGAGCATCCTGGATTATACGGTTACCACATCGATCGTTTTCGCATTACAACTTGGAACCACGGCCTGAGCACTCCACTATGCCTATTTCTGCTTTCGTTCCAAATCTTCGGGATACTTAAGTGTTGCATCACCCGCTATGAAAAGTACGGTGGGTGCAGATCATCCGGCTCAGGTGCCCTGTCGCCTTGGAAGAATTTATAACGCTGTTTCTGCTGATGAGGGCGGTCTAACGCAGGCTTTCCATTCAGCTTGCCGAGTTATTCAAAAGTTATGTTGAAGCGCGCCACCCGAAACATCCTTTAAATGATTCAGCCCATCGCCCGACAATGCTATTTCTGCGTTTTGTTGACACAGTTTCGGGTTGGATGGTTGATCGGATCGGCTAAAACAGGGTTCGGCTGTTATCTGCAGCTAAAATCTTCTCCGCCTTCAAAATCCAACAGTGCTGTCATTTCTCTCTTTATTGTCTAGTGTTTGACGGATCTTCGTGCGCCACGTTGGCCACCATTTGCCGGTGTAGATTTTCTTTCACTATTAAGATCAGTTGGTCGAGTCGGATGACTTGGACAAGTAGTTCTAACGGTAGAGACCATGGCTTCTTTCACCCTATGGCTATATGTTCATTCGTTCGCGAATATTCCACAAACTATGGAGAATCAATGAGCATTTATCGATCCGCGAGAAAACTGAGACAGGTGGTTGCTTTATGGATACAAACCACCGAATTGATCCGGCTGGATCACTCAGTGTAACCACGTAATGGAAAACCGGTCGAAGGCCGTCCGCCAAAGAATGACGAAGTCTGTTGAAGCAATTGCTATTAGGATTGACAATCGGTCTTTTCCAGAAATGGACAATGAAAGCTCTGACTTCGTCCTCGCCCACTAAGCAAAACTTCCCGTCACTGAGTGGATAGTGTCGTTGTTTCTGGACCAATAGTATAGCACCATTGTGGAACATTTTATCTCTTCTACCACTTTACTTGCCGGACGACATATGATCGCACATGGTCAAACGCACACTTGTGTTTTCTTATTAAGATATGAACTTACCGTGCCTCACTTCATCCCGTATTCCAACCGCATTATCCTCTGATCTCATATGCCACTGTTACATGTTCCAAACAATAGTACTGCGGGATTATTCTGACCCAAATTAATGTCACACTAAAATCTGTTCTGACCAAGAGGAGTTTGTTTATAAGGTCATACAGCATGCAGCACTAATTAACGTGAAATTCGAGTAAAAATCCAGATCATCGTATGGAGTACTTTCTTTGGAAGTGAGTCAGTCATTTCGGAGAACCCTTCGGATCTCAGAGGAGTGTTTCCTCTTGGGAGGTGCTGTGGGAAAAATACCATGCAAGTCGTGTTTATAGTTGGTGGTGAGTTTGTGTCTACACAACTTCAGAAAACGAGCAGTCACGATAGACAATGCGGGAGATATAAACCTAGAAAGGGCAATGTTCGAACTTATAGATGAGTAAAGAAGAACTATCGATTGCTGAATGAGAGGTTCAGAAGAGATTCACTTGTCTCTCACTGACATCAGATCCATTTGTAAATGAGTGTGTTTAACCACTTACCCATTTAGACAGTGAAGTTGACCTGGGGGCCCACATACCTAAGCTACATTCGTATCATTGCTTCAATGTTTGGACGATGCAGCCTTCGTGCCGACGATTGAGATCCTCGGTTTATCGGCTAGGCGCTTCGTCATAGGAACTTCAGTGGTGATATGATGTCGGACGACATGACATGAACACTAAGGTTGGTTGGAGTGGTCGACTGGAACGTGTTGGACCAGAATTTAAAAAGCTGGTGACCGGCATGAGGGGGTGGCAGTAGACCGCTAATAGGTACACGCACGTTACACAGTTAGGTATCGGTGTTTAGTTAGTCCAACGGTAGTAGCCAACCACATGTTCATTCGCAAGGGCGACGGGCTCTGCATACTTTTGGTGTAGTTGTCAACAACAACAACCTGACCAACACTCAACAAGTCCATCCTTCAAGAGCTCATTCATATCAAGCCCCCAGTGGACTAGATCAACATTCACACAGTACAGGCTTGGCTCTCTAGCAACTGTTTACTCACCGGTGGCTCCCTCTCAAGAGTTTGAAACACACCCCCATAAAAGACGATGACACTTTTTGCCTGTCCTTGCAGATGGTTTTCTCAGAGGAAAGGACCGTGGGTTCGTTTGAATTAGGTTGCGAATAAGAAGAAGAAGCGTTCAGCTGTAGCACCCTTCCGGTGCCTAGCTGCCATGCCACCCGAAGGAAGCACGAGGGCTGGGATACTGCCAGGTTGCCCAAGCCTAGACAGGGGAAGTCGAGTGGCGGAGGTCGGATTCGAACCGCGGACCTTCAGGTTAGTAATCCGCGCTCTAACCACTTCGGCCATCTCGCCCCCTTGCGAATAAGCTACAGAACAGACTGTGTATGTAGCTTGCGAATAAGCTACATACACAGTCTGTTTAGTGTCAAACACGGGTTTTCTCTAAGGGTTAAATTTATTAAAAAGGCCATCGCCGATATATTTCCACATAGGAAATGAACAGTTGCATAGAATCTGAACCAAAAGAAAACTATTCGCACTCGGCGAAACTCAAATCCCAATCAATAAATCGACTGGTTAGAAGTACACCGGAAATGAAAAACCCAAAAGAAGTAAGTAAATTAGCAATGAGCATGAAACGAAGACACTGGGCGGTGCTCACAGTAGACAGGTATTTTGTATCACAGATCGACGTGAAGTGTCTCTGAATGAAAGAAAGACTCGGATCGGAAATCGTTAACACATGTCCTCGCTGAGATTACTACTGTGGCTCCGCGGGACACACCGGAATGTTCTTGGCATCTGGCAAAAAACTGAAAGAAGGAAAGCAAAAATTGGGGAGTGGAGGTAAGGCAGAAAATAAAGGAATCAATGAAGTAATGAATTAGACGGAGGCGAAATAGTGATTGGGTCCTAGTTATGTCTCTACTCATTCAGGACAGATCAGTCACTAGTACGCGTTGTCTAATGGTCCAAAATGCCAAGCTAAACGACAACACTGTGGTAGTGCTCGGACAGTAAGAGAAAAGCAGTCAGTCAAGCAGACTCCCCCAAATAACGATATAAGTTGGTCACACAGTGCCAAACAGATAATGAAAAGCAGCCTTAAAAGAGTTCCTAGTTGAAGGCAAAGTTTATGCCTAAGTACATGATACACAATGTTGGCAAGTTCTAGTCGAAGTCTTGTGCCCTTTGGCTTTCTAAACGTAAATAATCGATTCGGCACCTGTTATCAGAACTATTAGGGCTAATTTCGACGCACAGACGCTGCTGTAGGCAGCTGGGATGTTCATGACGATGACTCTCTATCGTATGGGGTACTGTGCCTCAGAAAACACCAACTCGAAAAACTCGGTGAGAATCGGAGAAAATTCAGTGAAATTGACGCTTCTGTTGCGTTTACGGAATGTGCACACCTAGCCAAAACTTCAAAGGCTGAAAAGGTTAGGCTCTGAACAGGCGCTCAAGCTTTCGTGGCATTTATAAATTTGGAATAATGGTAAAAGAAATAGCTAAGCTTAAGATCTAAAAAGTAACTGATGAGTTGGAACAGTGACATGCAAACAGTTGTACACATGGTTAAGGTGTGCAAACAGCTGCTCACCAATTCAGATAGGCACTAGGCTACTGGTAAAAAGTCAGAAGGTAGCGCCTGTTAGTTTATCGATCCTCGTGGAGGACCTGATATCACCGCATGTTCAATACGCTACATCATAGGGCTCACGCCCTGACTATGACCAAATGCGAGTACTTCATAGAAAGGATGACATATCATGACGTCGAAAAACAGATAGACAAAACCGTCAGCTGTCTTCATGGCAAGCCAATGAAGAACACGGTCACATGATACGAGGACGACGACGTTCACACCAAAGTTGTCTATAGTGTTGCTTAGAGGCCGTTCAACGGGTATGCGCATTGTCTATCCCACCGGTTGTAGAAAGGAAGTTTCAGTTAGCAAAGACGCAGCAATAGCTCCGAAGTTCTTATTTACAGAGCAATCATTTGTCACGCCATGATGAGAAGATGAGATCAATTAGAGCTAGTTTTCATCTTATCTAGACTGAGATAAAACGGTAAACATACTACTCAAAGAGGTTTAGTTTTGCAATGATGCGGGCGGTATACCTTGACACGCGTATCCTAAATATTTATCCACTAGGACGCGGAGCCCGATAATATTTGTGTATCATACAAAGGTTCAACTAAAAAGTGGAAATTTATGTCACATTTTGTGAGCTGTACTTACTTCAAGCACTTATGAATGAGCTTTTGGGAAAGTTACCTTGTGGGAAAAAATTATGCTAGCTATCATTCTCCGGACGCTATTTATTCTCTCCATCCAATCCTTTAAACTCAAAAGATCTGTGGAGCATTCTTAGTTATTAAAAAAACCAGACAAGTAGACGTTCATTCCCGGAAACTCGCCTGTCAGTTCGACAATCTGTTCAACGAAAAGAAAAAAACCTAACTGATGGAGAATCTGACACACTATGCTAAATGACACAGTCAGTGAAGGAATGAAGGTTCATGGTATCAAGTGGAACTATACCTCCAATTCTTCACTGAATCCTGAACGGCACAAACATTCTCCACGACATCGTTTTCCAGCTGGTCGATTTCGGTTTGCAAAGTTTCGAAGCACTTTTCTAATCCTTCAATAGGTCTGTTGGGAAAAATGAACGACAAAAAGCCAATAAAATAATCCACATATGTGATATGGTCCATTCGTGCGACAGTGAACGATTGAATTGCGTCTGTCCCGGTATAGGGAAAGGAAATCACCGGAGAAACCGATGACGTACTCATGTAAACTGAGTTAATCTGACTGGGACCGAAGTACCCGTCGTCAACAGGTTCAAAGATCATGTGTTTCAGCTACGACCCTGTGATGAGAGATTTTTTGTGCGACAAAATGTATGAAGAAAATATTCGGTGGCAACATACTGGAGCCGTCAACTAAATAGGAACAACTGATCTTAATCCCCTTCTCGTATCAAACAAGAATGAGTTTACTCGTCCCCTTCAAGAAGTATCGGAATTAGGGATGGATGCGTGATAGTTGCTCCTTTTCACATTTGTGATAGCTTTATCCGATCAACTGATGAAAGACATTCCGGTATGATAGCAGAAGCCTCGCTGTGGTAACCAAATCTAAAGGTTTCATGTGCAAGTGGTGAAGCTAGAGCTGAAAACCAACGCCTCACGAACCGGAAATTTTCCGCAAAGCATTCAAAGGAAAAACAAAATCACAACAACGCACAACTTATGAGGCTTACTTGCTCCGGTGTAGAGGCACAGCTGCAGTGTCACCTAGAAGATCCTCTAAGCTTTCGATATCTATACCGAGGGTGGAAAGACTGTCAAGCACTGACTGGGCGCTCTCTCCAATCGGTAATTTTGTCCGCGTCGTGGGCTCCAGACGAGTGAACAAGCGGAACCGCTCCACTTGGGCACGGAGACCGCCCCTAAGTCGAGCGTATTCTGTTTGATAACGTATTTTTTCGTGTTGAGCCTGTTTCAACTCTTGAGACATTGTGGACAGATGTTTGGTGATGGTCTAAAGATGGGGCGGATAGCAGAGATAAAAGGGGATTGATTAGACCAGCCAGATTAGAAAGTGAACTAAACAAAGTGATACCTTGAGGGAACCGGTGTGGAATGCATAAACGACCAGTCATGCCACTAACTTACTAACCATTATGAAGCTGAAACTGAGATGAAATTGATATTATTGCGACCACGTTACCAAAGTGAGTTCAAAGATCTCTCAAACAGTGACTTTCCTTTCCCGAAAAAAAACACCACAAGAAAAGTCACCTAAAAAATTCTTTCCAGGAGGGTCACATTTAATTGACTGAAGAAAAACCCTGTTAAGACTGTCCCTTGGGGCAATATTAAGGTACTGTATCGTTTTATCTGTTGTCTGGGTTTGGGTTTTTTGGGAGAACCCGTTAATAAATTGCCGCTGAGAATGAACATGAAGAGGGTCAGTGGGAAACACTAAGGTATTCTGACAAGTATTGTCTCTTAATCCGTCCTGAACTGATCGATTTCAGTTCACATTAAATTCAATGGCTCACGGTCACTTTGAGTCATAACCCTAACACGAATGCAACCTAAACCAATCGATGTAGACCACACAGAACAATGGAAAGGTCAGAGGGTACTTGCAAAACCATGACCACTTTTATCTGGGTCTGTGCAGATCTCCCATAGGGATGAGTTGTTAAAGGACTATGTCACGGTGATCCCATAGGCGAGCATGCTGTTACTTCTAAGTCGGTCTGCCCATCTGAAGTGGGTTTGTCGGTTCATGGTAGGTTCACGTTGAGTGAGGTTCGTGAAAGGCATCGGGTTATGCCTACTAACGTCGTCTCAATTCGATGTCGTGCTCAGATGCGTTTGCCTCGTTGTTTCAAGGTGTTGGTACCTTGTTCTTCATCGTTTTGCAAAAAGATATAAGGTCTTTTGAAATAAACCGCTGACCCTCTACTCTTTAGTAGGCACCATTATTTACTAGTGGCTTTTTGCCATCAACAGCGACGGTGATGACAACATCCGATGCCAGCAACGTGGCTGAGACATCGGTGTTCAAAAATATAAAGATGTCTCAAATCATCCGCTGGTAAAGGACAAATCTTGCAACCATACAACAAAACTAGCACTACAGTTCGATATACACGACCTGGAAATCCAGTGATAAGCTTCTTGATACTACAAATCAAGTAAATTTGTGAACATGATTTGAGTCTTTGGGATTCATGCACTGACTTTATCAGACACTTCCGTCAGAGCCAATACGTCTGCCCAAGTGTTCCCTCGATGGTAACATCATCGTCACCGTCGACAATATGCCAGTTGCAAATACTAGTGCTTCCCTACCATATACTCATGAGGAAGAGTGCCATAGTAAGTAGTGGAAAGAAGGAAGGTGGAACTTAGTGCGTGCAGTTTTGGGTCCCCATGGAGAACAAGGAAGGTTTTAAACTTATCAACCAGCTAGACGAACATAAGCATTGCATCTGGGTAGAACGCGCAAAGAACTGCGCCAAGCATACAGGGGCGGACAAATTTTCGCTACGCAGTCTCACAGCATGCTAGCTAGTGGGAGCGATCACACGCAGCACCCTGTGCAGCTTCCGACCAGATGCAAAGAAAACCACGTAAACGACAACAAGGAATGCATGAAGATCGCACAGCAACGTCCGGCAGCAATCATGCCGTCATGTTGTAACCTATCTTTCGAAAGCCCTTCGTTAACAAGAAGTTGGAGCAGAAAACAGGGCTTCCTTTGACAGACAGTGGTTGGGCATGCGTGGTGCATGTCCCAACTAACTTTATCTAACAAACTTCGTTTACTGCTCCACTGATTTTAATTCGTCACCGGCTACTCACGCACCATTCGATTACGAACGCACTACAACCAGCTAACGCCTGAGGTTCTCCGAAAATATCGATGATCAAACATTTGGAGCTGTTTAAGGTCTTCCGATTGTAGGGATTTACAGTTGCATTACTCTTCAGATTCGGCGAAATTTGTTTCCGATGCCAGAAATTACCCAAGTGCGCAGATATTGCCCGCTACCTGATAACTCGTGAGTTGACTTCTGCCACATCACAATCAAGACTAATGCAGGAACTTCAGGGGGGCAGATTGAAAATCCATATGCAATATTGTGCACTTTGAGGAAGCAAAATGCATCTCGAAAAAAATGTCACTTCCAAAGTAATATCTATAGTAGATTGGATGGACCGCCTATGGCTGAATAGGTTGAGATTGGATGTCGAGATTGGATGTCGCAGTAGTCTTACAGTCACTGATGGGTTGTGATAAGCGTATGGCCCATACTTCTGTGGTTGAAGCAATCCCATTGCGAAATGTTTTAACAGAGTTATAATCGCTGGCTCACCTGTCGTCTGGAAAATAATTTCATCTCCCAATAAATTCAACCAAAGTAAGGTAGAACATAGAGATCCATGACCTCTTAATGTGCCGCCAGTGGAAGTTCCTCATTCGCCAGCTTGTCAGAGCATGGAAGTAGAAAGGCATGGTGCGAAGTAATTCACCTCAGCCAGTTCGTTTTTAAGCTGCAAGCCGTGTACTGAAATATAATGGTTCTAGCTGCTACATCTTCGTTCAGCAATGGCAAGGAGAATAAGAGAATCAGGGCAACGCATTAGCAGCAATGGCTTAATCAGTTCATTGACGGTAGATAGTTTGTCCGTTATGGTGGGAATGAAACAGCCAAGCAGTGGAACAGATAAGTTTCATGCAATGTCGTCACCGACTCCGCGATAGAGTTATATCTGTCAGGGTCACTAAACATTGGTGTGTCTCAGGCTGGAATTCCCATCCGGGAAGACAGCAGTTACGAACGCGACTGAAGTGCAGACTTCAGGTGAAGACTTTCACGCTTCGTTGTCATATCACACAGTGATGACCCATGAGTCACCGCCATCCGATGCACGACAGGATGGAGACCGTGTGAAGTAAACGGCCCCTGACATACGATATATATATATATATATATATATATAACCTAAGTGGCGTGACTGGCCAATTTGTCGGAGTTTTCGTCCCGGAAAATCGTCTGGCGTGCTTCAGCATTACTGACTTGGTCCGTCGGACTCACGTAACGCATTGGATGCATTGACGATCAAACACGCGGAGTCTTCTAAGATCTGCAAGTGGCGGTTACTTACCTCATCCCACAAAGTGCAACCAGTGCAGTAGACAGGGAGTTCGCAGTCGACAGTCTGGACAGTGAATATGCAGTACACTTATTTATCGTACTAGGATCTTGCATTCCAGTTTCAAAGAATCAGTGAAAGTCCACCGGGAAAGCACCTAAGGTACGTGCAAGAGCAGCGAGTTGGCTGGTGTGTTTGAGGGTTTAAACTTCAAAGGCTTTGGTAATAACAGAAGACCGATAATTGACCACTGGACACAAAGAGGTAGAATTGAGTAGTGGCGTACAATCGCTGTTCTCTGAGCGTTCGTGCAAAATGCCCACGGGTGGGCTGGGGAGCAGTTAAGAGAGGATAATGGAGGTGACGTCAGTAGTTACCCGCCCGCTTACCCACCCCGGCGCACATGATGAATAAGGCCGTCCAACTGATACCATCATGCGAGTGACATGATGGTGCTTTTGTTCGTGTAGTTTGCACGTGGACAAGCTGGTGTCCATACCTACACAAGATCGCAGTCTTTGGTCAATAACCCCGGGAAAAAGCAGCGGTGGTTGCCCAAAGGCAACTACAATAGTATCACTTTTAGAGAACAAGTTAGCACAGCTGTTTCAACCTCCCAACTAGATATCCAGGAGATTGTCAACCGAACTGGGAGAAGGAACTCTGTGGGCGTTAAATGGACATCTTGCACTTATAGCTCAAAAAGTTCCCGACAGAAAAATGTATAATCACCTTTGTAATCGAAGCAAAACTGCAATATGCTCGCAACACTAATTGGATGAATGCTCTGTGGTGACTATATAGTCTGTATTTTTGAAATTTAGCACACAAAAACGACAGGCACCTAAATTACTACTTTGTGTTTATATAGAGGTAACCGAACTCACGTTGATTATTGCTCTCAAGGATGAAAGTTCGTCGGTACGTGCCAGCGAAAGGGACTCCTGGTCTTCTTGATGTTGCTGGATTTCGGTCCGTAAGCGCGTTACTTCACGACGCAGCGTTTCAACTTCTGCCTCTAGTTCTCTTAATCTGAAGGTGGCATTCTGAAGTTCGGTATTTGCTGCCTGATGGGCCTCCACTACCTTCTGTCGAGCGGCTTTTTCACTCTCCACGATGCTGGAGTGCAGCTCCACCTCTCTTAGCGCAACGGCCAGTTTAGAAAGCGCCTCCTCATTGTCCCTCTGGGAAGCCAACAGAGCCTTCCTCAGGGTCATTTGGTCTTCTTCTAAACGATGAATATAGTTTGCCACATCGACTTTGTGAGGGGATTTTATATCCCCTGGGGTAGAAAATCCATTCGCGTAGTTTTCCGAGGATAGTGCATCGACTACACATGGCCGCTCAGTTTGAAAAGATAAATAATCTTGGCTGACTACGATATTTGAGGCATTTACCGTTGAATGACTTGAGACTGAAAGGTCGATTTGTTCAGTGCCCGTAATAGAAGAATGTGACAAGACCGCCTTATGCTCTGCTACGTCTAGCAGCTCCAGCTCCGCTGAACGGAGTTCAGCCGCGACTGCCCCACCGTATGTTGTTGGCCTCTTCAAATCAGTGGACGAAAGGGGTAAGATGCCAAAGGAGGCAGGAGTTGTAGGGTCGACAGCTGAAGCAGAGATGCCACCAACAGTATTATCCGAGAAGTCATCCGGCAACACTCCAGTCCTGAGAGGTTCCAGAGATTCCGTTTGGTCACTGTAATCGACAGTAGGAACAGACAGGGAACCACGACCGACCGTACCTAGAGCAACACAACGAATTTCAAGCATTGAACCGGCAAAGAAACATACCTGAATCTGGTGGAACTGACCACAGTAATTTCCCTCCATTCGAAACCAAATCAGTAGATGACTTTTTCTCGGTATCGTTTATAGGGAAGAGGGGTGCCTCCAATATATTGTGAAGAGAAACAATACAATGCTGCAATTCTGATTTCTCGCCGTCGCCTGGTACATCTACCTTTGTCCCCACTGTTGCGTCGTTCGTTTGAGACATGCCTTTGTTACATGGATGCAGCGACTCCGAAGAATGCTGTTCAAGATTCGAAACCGAAGTAACCGCGTAGGTAGGTTGGGACGAGGAATCATAGTTTGCAGAAGATGAAACGAATTTCGTGGTTGTGTCACCCGATGTCTGGACTTCATAACACCTGTCTAGCGAGCCCAAGTGGATCATTGCATGAGGTTCCGAATGACCTCGAAGACGTATCGAATCAGCATCCAGGTGGATGGATTCCAACTGGCCACCGACAGGTGCTGTCATGTGACTGACTTGCAGGCCAGTGTTAACGCCTGAATTGTATTCGGAAGTCTGCACGACAGCATCAGCTACGCTGGTATCAGGTTTTGTGGTGTCCTGACCACTGCCAGCTGTCAGTTCCTTGAAGGCTGTACCCGCCGACATCTCTCCCATTTTGAGCTGCATAATCAAACGATACGCATCTTCTAGCTGTGCTTGGGCCGCTTCCAGCTGGGCGTAAAGTTGGCTTTTCTGTTCCGTCAACTCTGACAGCTGGTCGGACTTTGCTTGCAGCTCATACTTCAGCTTGTCAAAGCTTTCCTCGATTTTTGTCATACTAGCTTTTAATGTGCCTAGATAGGTGTTCAATGTATCCCTTTCTCTACAAGCAGCCTCCAGAGCTGAAAGAGCCGCATCACGTTCCTCCGTAGTGCTAAGCAACAAACCAGTTTGACGCTCACATTCAGTCTCTAAGGAGTTAATACGAATGAGAGCATCTGCGAGTTCTGCCATTTTTTCGCTAAGTTGGCACTCCTGAAGTTGCTGTTGATGTTCAACGGCCTGCAGCATCTCCTGAAGTTCCGAACGTCGAGTCTCGGCGCATGAAAGAGCTTCTTCTAGCTGTTCTAACCGGGCGCGTTGTCTTGCCACTTGCTCATCCGTCGTGCTTAGTTCGGTTTTCAGGTGGAATACTTCTGTCTGCAAGTCGTTTACTTCATCCGAACGCCGAACATTAATCTTTTCAAGGCCAGCCCTTTCGTTAGCAATGCGTTCAAAGATAACCTCACGTTCAATCATATCTACGCGGATGGACTCCAACTGTTGAGAAATATTGCGTTTCGCGTCGGCAAGAGCTGCCGTCGTGCACGCGACTTGGGCTCGCAAACAGGCGTTTTCGTGAGTAAGACGATGATTCACATCACTATTTTCCTTCAGTAAGCCACGAAGACGATTCAAGTCCGCCTCAGTCCGATCGTGGGCAGACTGTTTTGCACGAAGTTGCTCACTATACCAATCCCGCGATCGTTTCAGACTACTAACTTCCGCTTGTAAGTCGGTCTGATGATCTATCGCGTGTGAATGAGCACACCGGAGCGACTCAATATCCGCGTATAATTCAGCTATTTTCGTTGTCAAGTTTGAAACAGTGTCTGCCTTGACGGATCCACTGTGATTCAGATCAATGAGTTCAGATCTAATTGCCCTTTCAACCCGCCGGACGGAAGCTAGTTCAGCCGCAACTTTTTCTGCTTCTATTGACTGGCTAGCCAGCCTGCAGCGAAGCTGCCTTACCTCCTCCTCTAAATCAGAGCCAGAGGGTAGTTGTTGAAGAGCAGAAAGAGACAAGGAAGATGCCTTCGTTTGGGAAGACAACTGTGGGCCAATCAAGATGTCGTCTTGTTTAGAGCTGAGTGACGTTAGATTGACCAAATGTTCCTCTGTGGGATCCACGACAAACGCTTGGGCGTGCTTAATGGTGCAACGTTGTACACAGATACCCGCCTCTGAAGCTGGTGGCGAAAGTAACCTCGATCGTATGGCTGCCTTTGAATTCAGTTCTGAAAAGCGCTGTCGTAAACTAGCTAAAGTCCGCGGTGAACTGGGAGGTACTTTACCGTTAGATCCCAGAGTAGAGCGGGTTTCGAGTCTGGAACGCTGCACTTTTTCGTCTTCCGAGATAAGATGCACGGGCTTGGGTTGTTCTTTTTCTGGTGGAGTGAAATTCTTCCCACTTAGGAGGACTGAATCAGTTGATATAGACCCACTGTGCCGTTTTGATTTATATGCCTGAGGTTCAGCAGACATGGACTGGCGATGTCTCCGGGAGGAACCTCGTGACTTTGACCGTGTAGAATGTGACAGCTTTCGTAAAGATGCGCTTCGAGGCTTGCACACGGTTTTTGTTCGTTTCGTGTTATCTCCCGCGATTTTTCCATTCGAAACGGTCGTCTCTGTCTCACAATTACTTGGTGCAACCGCATAAGCATCAATTTTTCCAGAAACTTCGGAGTCTAAACATGGGTAAAACAAGTCAGAAACTTACTTGAATGGAAATCTTCATTGAAATTAACCACAGTATCGAATGGTTTGAGGAAGCCGTGTTTTGAAGGATCCATAGGAAACCAGTGGATTGTGGTGTCCTGTGACAGTAAAAAACATACTACCATTTGAAAAATTGGGTCAGGACGTGCGTTTGTGATTTTTTATGGGTCCCACGGGCCCACTCACCCGAAAGTGCACGGTTAACATCACATCACATTCACAGCAAAAGCAGCATTACGGTTGATGACAAACTGCACTACTACCACACGGTCTTTGTTTTAACGGACCTTTGACCTGAAATAGCATTTAAGTTTACTTTGAAGAGACCGTCTTGAAATATAATTGGTTAAAATACGGAGTGTCTCGAGCAGACGCTTTCCAGGTAACAGAAATAATAGCCGTCCAACCGTGACACATTTTAGACGGACCGTTGTAATGCTACTCGAAAAAGGAACAACGACTGAGATGCTGCTAAGTTGTCCAAACGTAGAAGGAGCAATAGAAAAGCCAGTGTTGGGTTTAAACCAGAAACAGCTGTAGCTGTGCAAACTAACCGTTGGATTGTACCATATCCATGCATCGCGATCTGGCTCTGTACTGGCAATCGCGTCCATCAGTTCTCAGCAATCTTGTGGTAGTGTTCCGTCATGAAACTTGTTATCTTATTTAGTACTTTGATAGCATGGATACCCAACAGCGCCCCTGGGTTTGCGTACCCGAGGCTACTATCGGAGAGTAACGGAGATCTTGATTTAATGTTAATTTCTATAAGGAAGTTTGAAATATTAAAAGGTAGTCCTGTCGAACACTGCCTCAGGTAGTGGGCTTTGAAGAAACTTTTCCGTGGAACTTTGTATACTAACCAGTGTTTCAGATGGTGAGGCAGGAAGTGGAAAGATTCCGAATGCATTTATTGATTAGGTAGCTTACAAAGCAGGATGGTCGAAAAGGCCGATAAGAATTTCTCGTCGTGTGTATGAAGACTAATCCGCGACTTGGAGGAAAACCTTGTGGTCTCCCTAAATGAGCGACTCTCTGATGGCACCGAGTTTTTCAAGGATGACGCCGCAATCCCTCAAGTATCACCAAACACGGCACACCAAAATTGTGAACCCTTGTACCACAGTTTCTCCACCATCTATCAGCATCGTTGGGAAGAAACGATGAAGATGGAATTTCTATACGATCTTCCTCGCCGTGGGAAGCCGACCACTTCAGCATGCCCGACAATTCCGTACACGGATAGCTTAAACGTCGAATACACTGGTAAATCATTTCTGCTAGGTGTTTCGTCAGTCACTTAACGAAGGCCGCCTTCCATCTGCTTGGAAGGAAGCGATTGTCACGCCAATCTACACAACTGGTGACCGACTATCAGTGGTAGCAACAGTCCTGTAAACCTCACAAGCGTACCGTTCAAGGTGATCGAACGCATTCTGAATTGGGCCATCTGAGATCACCTTATTTCCAATAACTTGATATTTTCACTTCAACACGGATTTCTTCGTTCTTGCGTGACGAATATACTCGTATTTATGGACAGCCTAACCCAAGCTAAGGACGAGGGATTCATATCGGATGTCATACTTTCGATTTCTCAAAAGCATTTGGTCGAGTTTCACACGCTCCACTGCTTTACATACTCGAGTCTTACGGGATTCAGGGGGGAATTCTACTGTGCACTAAGGCATTTCTATCAGACTGAACATTCTGAGTGAAGCAGGCTCGAACTACTCTTCTCCGGCGATGGTTTTTAACGGAGTCCTTTAGGAACCTGTTTTGGGACCAATCCTCTTTCTCATCCAAGTTAGCGACTTATCATACGTCCTTTCAGGTCCATGTCTACTTTTTCCGGACGATTTGAAATCCTGGAGTTCAAATGACAGTGCCCACCGAATGGATGTGGATGCTGAAAAGCAGTGACCATTGGACTGGCACCTTCGTCTGAATGACGAAAAAGGCGTCCATATATCACTTGGAGGAGACTCAAAGAATGACTTTGTCATGTATGGTGAGAAAAGACCAGAAGACATCACGAGGATAGATGCCAAAAAGGATTTGGGTATCTGGCTCCTATCAAACATGCCCTTCCCATTGTAACATGAGAAGTCAGCCCAAACGGCATTCGCCGTTCTACCGATGATTCAGTGCACCTTCTCCCGCATTACTCGGACTTCCAAATAATCTATGGGACCTACGTCACACCGCTTTTTGAATACGCCAACCAAGTTGCCTACTCAGGACGCAACGAACTGCACCTTAATTGGTCGCCGTCCTTAAATTCCTGAACTACGAAACGCGTCTCGCGGTGCTTGAACTCTTTATGCAGGAGTACGGTCGACTCCAAAGAGACCTAATACTTAATTTTGCCTTGTTTATGCAAAGTTCGGCCAACAGGTGTTTTGCCGCTAATCAAGGAAATACACGTCGGAGACGCGGTGAGATTCTTAGGTGCACAGGGCACACTTTCTTCTGGCAAAATTGTTCCTCATTTCGGACAGTTGCTGCATAGAATAACTTTTTTCCGGCGGTTGTCCACGCCAAATCTAGTACCTAGTTCAAATCACTATTAGACGCTTTTTTGAGGGAACCCTCATGCTGGTAAACTTACCGTTCAGCGCTGAGAACTTACAGAGCAATGCTACACCCTTTTTTCGCTTGTGCATTTCAGGTGAACGGCACTCGCTGAACGACAAGAACAAAACCGACCAGGAAAACCTGGGCGAAAGCCTCGATCCTGTGTATCATTCCGTGAACCCTATATATCTGGTTTCCATATTTTCAGGTTTTTATGCAGCTAATATATTTGGGTTGCACGTGCTAGGGTAATCAATGGTAGTAAAGTTGCAAAACTTTGCGACAATCCGACCACCGGCGGCCATGTGTTTACTTGGTCGGCGCATCGATCAAGGTCGCCCTAGGTCCTTTTCTACCAACCGGCAATCGGTGAGGTGGAAACGCTCTGTTATGATTACCCCATTGTGACCAATCAGGGAGGCCTTTCTGGTCCATAGGTGGCTTTGCGTGCGTACTGTCCAATTGGCGTTCGGTTTGTTCGACCGGCCACCCTTCGCACCGCTGGGCCATGGTATATATCCGTCATGGTCTACTCATACAACCGGATGGTCAGCTTGACCAGCCACATCTGTAATATTTGTTCCAACATTGATGAGGAACAATTATTCTTCTGCTTCTGCTGTAATATGTCTGCGTGTACAAAAGTATCCAAACTCACTGTGTGGATGTCCTGAGAATAGCAGCCGGGTGGGATGAAAAGGAGAATGCGACGTATTAGTTGGATGTCAGACCGCTGCTGGAGTACGCCAACCAAGTTGTCTATTCAAGACGTACGAAAGACGTTACCCTCATTGAGCGTGTCCAGCGGGCCGCCACGAGAATGGTTGCCGGCCTCAAATCCCCGGACTACGAAACGCGTCTCGCGATGCTTGATCTCTTTCCCCTGGAGTACCGTCGCCTCCAAGGGGACCTAATTCTTACTTACGCCTTGTTTGAACAGAGCTTGGCAAACCGTTTTTTTACCGTTGACCCAGCAAACACCCGGCGGGACATAGTAAGAAAATTTGCAAGCTCAGGCCACACACATTCATTATTTATGCGAATCCTCGCGCCGGCAAGCATACTGCCCCGCGCTGAGGGCATAAAGAGCAGTGCTACACCCTTTTTTCACTTGTGCATTTCAGGTGAACGACAGCCACTGACCGACAAGAACAAAACCGATCCGGGAAACTTGGGCAAAAGCCTCGATCCTGTGTATCGATCCGTGAATCCGTGAATCCATGAACAGTAAGTTGGTAACTCTCGCCAACTGTCCACATAGAAGCACAAGAGCGTAGGTTCAACGGTTTATTCTCCGACCCTCTGAACACGTGGGGATTCAGGGGAGAGTGTCAACCACGGGGAACAGGGGTACAAGCGTATATAAACATCAGAGGGTGGTAGTCACTGGGGGGAGATCAAGCCTGTCTGTCTGGTATTGAGGGATGTCTTCATTTTCTACCATCGTTACCGCCGCCGCTTCTGAAACTGGACAAAAGATATTGTGATTAACGATGGCGCGCAGTTTGACATCCGTCGGCGCATTACAATTGTAGTATACGGTGTCTGTCATTTTGATTGGTTCATATGTAAGTATTGGTGATGTACAACCTTGCTTACTGGGCTTTGGCTCATGAGCTTTATTTCTGTTTACCATCCACAGAAATTGTCGTGAACACCTGGAGAATCACTGTCCCTTGGTGCGGCCATAGCGTGCATATTACACACTGCACATCCGTGATTCAAATTCCTCTTCGCGCTCCCGCCGGAGAGCCAGAAGTCTACGCTACCTATTCAAGAGACCGAAAAATGTGGAAAAAAGAATAATGGCCCCTCATCAATGTTGGAACAGATCTTACAAATGTGGCTGGTCAAGCTGACCATCCGGCCGCAGGCTATTGGCACAACCAGATTGATTTCGCCGAAACTATAGGGTTTTCGAAATTGCTATTTTAACGCGGAGTTAGTCTAATCAATTAGCACCTTCCTGTGACATGTTGCACGTAGCATTTTATTTAAGTGAGCGAAATGTCAAGGTCATTGACCATCGCCGATTTGCATTTTTTGCCGGTTTACGCAACATAAAACGTGAAATCGCACTTTAGCATATTTTGGCGTTCCTCGGTGTTCCTGAAGAATAAAATAACATCTTAAGAGTATTTAATGCAAATGCCACCCTATAGGATCATTCGTAGGCGTTTGTTTACTTTAGACACCTCAGATTTAACAAATGGGATATTTTTGTTCGACGAACCTGCTCACAACACATTTTCCTCATGGACCTCATGTTCCAATAAGTGCGATAAAGTTAGATAACAGCACAAACTTGCAGTGGCAGTGCAGGGGCCATCTGTGGATGATCCCACTTCCCAGATATGCGTAACTAGCTTGTAGATAATACACTGTTGCGAGATAGCTGCGGGCGTCGTTCCTACCATAACTATGACGTTCTATAGGTGGTGACCACCATAAAGCGGTTACCACTACGACGTTAGCCGTTGTCACTCACCTGGACTACCTATTGCACCTGCTGGATCCGTGTCTATGTGCGACGCTGATTACGGTTCCGCACATATGCGCAACAGCCCAGTCCAATGAGCAACGACGGCCCCCTGTACTCTTATCCCTACTTCTTTTCACTCGTCTCGAATACCTGTTGTAACTGCTAGGCCCGCGTTTATGCGCAACGTTGATAATGAGACATAATATGCAGGGTAACA